CTTGGCACAGTACATGTCAACTTTTTCCCTTCATAAAACTGAAAACAACTATGCGTAGTACTGCCTTTTTTCTTATCCATTTGTCTTTTTGTGGACGCCTAGTTGCTTTCACATTTTAGCCGTTGTGAATAATACTTCTATGAACATGTCTATAAATATATCAAAAGTAGAATTGTTGGAGCATATAGTAATTGAGATCATACAGTAATTGTTTTTAATTGTTAAGCAACTACCATACTGTTTTCCACAACAGCTGCACTATCTTACATTGCTATGACCAGTGTACAGAGATTTGCATGAGAATTTCTCCACATCCTTGCCAAAATGTTCTGGTTTGGAGGGGGAGTGCTTTATTTTGGATAGTAGCCAACCCAGAGGGGTAAAGTAATATTGAATTGGAGTTTTCATTTGGCTTTCTCTAATTATGAGGTATAGTCACTGCTTTTGTGATTATTAGCCATTATGTATATTGTTTGGAGAGAAGTCGTTACAAATCTTTGGTCCAGTTTTGAACTTGGTTACTTTTATTTTGCTGAATTTTAGGAGGACCTTCCCACCCCTGCTCCCTAGTCCCCATTTACTTTTCATTCAGAGATAAGATGTGATAAGGAATAAAAGAAAAGTATTCTTAGATGACAGTGCAGTGATTGATGGGGGATGGAAATCAGGCGCAGTCTTAGATGATGCAATCTAATAAATTAATTCACTCTGTTAACTTTATGAATTACCAGGTTGCCTAAACTGAGCCATAAATCTACCTAACAACTTCAAAAATTTTTTAAAATTTATTTTATGTATATAAGCGTCATCATATATCTTTGTACCACATGCATTTCTGTTCATGGTGGTCAGAAAAGGTTATTGGATTCTGTTGTAGAAAATAATAGTACTATGACTAGTCATGTTTATTATTAAAGCCTATTATTAGGCAGTTATTATTAAACTGCTACCATATTGATAAGACAGACCTGTTGTAGTTAAATAAGCCTTGTTTCACCTGTGGCTGGATAGATACTATCCCCTAATCTACCTTGTTACCTCTCAGCCCCATATCCTTTGCCATTGCTCTAACCATTGCTATCTGGGCTGCTTCCCATCCAATATTCCACAAATACTTGCACATGCTTTCCATGTGGACCACTTCATGCTGTGCCTCCTTCCTGCCCACGTGGTTCTTTACCTAGTCCATGGCAGCTCTGCTTCCTTCTTTTTCTCCCATACCTCTCCCCTTCCTATGATCCTTCACTTTAAAGCCCTTGCTTAGCCATGCCTACCTTACTTCTGCCCTGCCCAGGTATGTAGGCATTTATTCATCTAGTCAACTTTAAATTAGGTAGAGCAAGGTTTATACAACAAGGACAGGTGTATGTGAGAATGTGCTCATAAGAAACAGCAAGTAGATCTCAGGGAGCAAAAGAATTAGCAATCAAATACAAAGCACTCTGGGACCCAAATGTTGAAAATATAAATAGCTAATAATGTTTATTATTAAAACCTACAATTATTGTGGTGATATTGTCTAACCCACTATCATCCAAAAAAGACATAGACACCTGATAGATTTTAGATAGCCTTATTTCACCAGAGACTGGGCATATATTACCCCCTAATCTATTTTATTACTTCTCAGCCTCACATCCCAAGCCAATTGCTTTAATCATTTCTATCTGGGCTACTTCTGTCCAATATTCTACAAATACTTGCATATGTTGAGGAGCAAAGTAATTAGCAATCAAATACGAAACACCAGACCCCACTCTTAAGGATCCCCTGGAATTGGAGTTACAGATGGTTATAAGCCTACTGTGTAGGTGCTGCCAATTTAACCTGGGTCTTTTGAAAGAACAGGTAGTGCTTTTAATCATTGAGCCATCTCTCTAGCCCCTAATGAAACTAATCACTATCTCTTTACAAACTACTTCCAACCTGCATACAACTTGTAGATAGCAATCTTGACCACACCAGCCTACTACAAGGTGTCACCATATTATTTCCAGAGGATGGAAGGGATGGCTTAACAGACCTCTTACTTATTAATATTTAACAAGGTATGTTAAAGTGCTAACTTTTTACCTAAATATTTTCCTAAGCCAGAGTCATTATTTTCAAGTAGGTGACACTATACATGTATCAGACCTATAGCTTTTTTTTCCTTGAAATATTTCATTTATTTTACTTATTTATTTTGGGACAGGGTCTTACGATGTAGCTCTGGCTAACTTGGTAGTCACTATGTATTCTAGGCTGGCCTTGAACTCCAAGCAATCTGCCTGCTTCTGCTCTCTATGTGCTGGGATTGTACCAGCATGCCTGGCCCAGATTTTAATTTTGTTTGAGTGAATGTCAGTACCCTCAAAGTCAGGAGAGGTATTAGACCTTCTAGAGCTGGAGTTAAGCCACCTGATGTGGGTGTTAAAAAGTCTAACTTTGGTGCTCTGTAAGAACATCAAGCACCCTTAACTACTGAACCATCTTTCTAGGCCCTCATCTTTCTCTTTTTCTCTTTCTTCCCCTTTTCTTTCTTGCTTTCTTTTGCAAGGAATTAATGTAAACTATCAGAAGTAAAAATTTATATATTTTCTGTTTCAGAAGGCTTTTATGTATCTTACAGTCAGAAAAAGTTGAGAAAACTGTTCCCATATTGAGAAAGATTTAGAAGTTTTATGTCAATTTTATTTTTGTGTGTGTGTCACATTTTTTGCTATAATATTCTTTTTGGTATACTCTGTACTTGTATCAGATATTTTCAGATTTTATGGCTAGAGTGCTCACGGTTCCTTGGTTTGTGCTAGGGATTGGGTCTAGGGCTTTGTGCATACTTGGTAATCATTCTATAGTGCTGAGATATATAGCCCCAACCACTTTGGTCTCACTTGTGATCTCACAGTATTTGATAGTGAAGATGTCATGGATGACCTCAGCCATTAACAGAGGAAAGTAGAATCCATACAAGGAAAAAAGGATGAAAGAGCAAGTAGGAGATGAGGAAATGGACTTACTGTGTTTACTCTCTTTACCATGTAATGTAAAACTGCTTCATGTATAGATCTTTATCTTAAACGGCCCCCCTTCTCATTTTAGAGATAGTCTGAGAAAGTATGAATTAGCCTTATCTTTCTATGAAGCATAATTCTGCAGTAAAGTGCCCATGCTTTTTACTCAGGGAGTTAATATTTTTCTTGATTTGATCTGATTGACAAAGAGAGCCTTTAGACATTTAGCTATCTTGTTCATGATCTTGGATACAGGAATTACTTTTGCTTGCTTGTGGGGCTTTACTGGATAAGGTTGAAATTGGTAGTCTCTGGATAGCCAATTATTTGCTCTCAGTAAATAGATAGGTAGACTCCCTCTCTGCTGATAGACTCCCTTTTCTCACTGGGGTTTTAAAAGTCTCCCCTGATGGGAGTGACCCCAGGTCTTGTATGGATTGTCACCTAGCCCTCAGGGCAGATCACAGGCCAGCCCCTTCCCTGTTAAGGAAACTGCTTTAGCAAGCATCTAGGAATTCCTAAAAATGTCCACCCTGCTAAGTACCTTGGTCCAGCAGTGACCTTCAGTTGATCTTGGAGATTACCCTATAGGATAAATAAGTACTGTATTTTTTTTTTTTTTCTTGTGATAGGACCATTAAGTATCCCTGACCCCAGTGAATCAAACACATTCACTCTTGAAATCCCTCCCTCTGCCCAGGGTTTATATTGCCCTTGATTTCACACAAATAAAGGCACATGCATTCTCAATTCAAGACTGTCTGCGGGGTAGAGTCTCACCGGCCTGCCCACTAGCAAACTGGGCCTGGACCTCACCAGGATTGTGTCTTGGCTGCAAGCCGTCCAGGCATGGGCCTTGGCCCCCACTTCTGCTCTGTTCTGCACAGCAGCTTGATCAAGAGTTGTAACACTTTGGTATTGCCTTAGGTTTTGGAATACAAAAGAGGTAAACTGTAACACCTTGTGGAAAACCTTTTCAACAGCCTGGCTTAGTGTACTCAGGCCTCATCCTAAAGCACTCTAGCTGCCCCTAGAAGAAATGGAACACCAGTTCTCTATCTGGAAGCCAAGATCAAGGACACTGCCAAATGGGGAACACTTGCTTTTAAGTGATATTGTAGCAATTATGGTGCCAGTCAGTAGCTCATATTTTTTGAGACAGGGTCTCTGTAGCATTGAACTCATTGTATAGCCCAAGCTAGCTTTGAACTCATGATTCCCTTTCTTCACTCTTTTGAGTGCCAAGATTACAGGCCTGTAGTGAGCATTATAACATCAGTATTAATGTATTACAGTTCTTTGTGACTTTATCAGTGCATTTCGGCTTTTAATAATATAGTTTGCCTGAATTACTGTACCAGGTTATTCTTTATAAATAGGTCATTTTTTGTAAGCAGTAGTTACTATGGATCACATTTACCTAAAGTTCTGAAAATCTGAGTTTTCTTTTGTATGCTCTGAGTAATTAAATATAAGGCACCGAAATAAAGAATCAAGATACTAAAAACATGTATTTCATTTTTATTTTTTATTGTTATTTATGTGCATTGGTGTTTTGCCTGCGTGTGTATCTGTGTGAAGTTGTCAGAATCCTGGAGCTGGAGTAACAGACAGTGGTGAGCTGCCATGTGGGTGCTGGCCAGTGCTTTTCTCCAGTGAGCCATCTCTTCAGCCCATAGAATACATCTATTTCTTGGATTGCACTACTGTGAGGGAATGCTTCTCACTTTTATGAGATAGTCCAGAGGGAAATGTCATCTTGAATGGTTTTATTATATTGTGACATCACAGTATAGTTAATGTTTTAGAATTTCGAATGATTAAGTATTTAAAATTAAGCTCATTTGGATAACTGTACTCAGAATTGTAGATGCATGCAATTTCATATATTGGAGGTTAGAGTATTAACTACGCACGTTTAACCTTGAGCATTTTAGGATTTAGCAAACGCTTTGCAGTTATTGCAGGTGCTTATTTGTTACTGAATAAATTTTTTTCCCTCCTCAGTTCAAAGCAGTATCCAACGGTTTCAAGAGAAGTTTTTTATTTTTGCTTTGACACCTCAACAAGTTAGAGAGATATGCATCTCAAGGTAAGAAGAATGTTTAGATGTATGTTCTGTGAGGGTCATGTGCTTGTCTTATAGAGCTTTAACAAAATATAATAGACTAGTTGACTTAAATAGAAACTTCCAAGGTTCTGGAGAGTTCTGTCAAAAATTGAGGTGTTAAGTTTTGTTACTCCTAAAGCCTTTCCTATGGCTTATACATTTTGCTGTGTCACACCTGACTTTTTTTCTGTTGTAGTGCATCCCCGCTATGCAACAGGATACTGACATGACAGCATGTTTGTTAGCTTAGGGTTTCTTTAAGAATGTTAATTGCATCTATAAAGACAGTTACAAATACATTCGCATTGTGTTAAGGTTTCTATGTATAAACTCTGGAAACCCACAGTTCAGTCTGTAAAAATTGGATCGGTTCCTCCCTCCCTCCCTCCCTCCCTTCCTTCCTTCCTTTTTTTTTTTTTTTTTTTTTTTTGAACTTTTTACTTTTTTCTACACTTTTGTGTGTGTGTGTGTTGGGGGTGTCAGGTGCCATGGGCTAAGTGTGTCATCAGTGACAATATCAGGAATTTAGGAATTAGTTCTCTTCTCTTATGTGTCTTCAGAAATCAGACTCATCAGGCTTAGCATCAAGTCCTTTTACCAGTAGCCATATTGCTAGGCCCAGCCAACTATTTCTTAATAGTATAGTTTGACCCAGATTAGTCAAGTAGTAAATACTGTATATTAGGAAAAAATCCTACCTGTGAATTAAACCTCAAGTATCTTTTAATTTTAGTTGAATATGCCAATTTTTGTTTGTTTTTCTGGTGCTTAAGTCAAACCCTGAACCTTCTGTGTCCTGAGTAAGTGCTCCTGTCACCTTCAGTATTTCAAAGGAAAATTTTATTTTAAATAGGATAACATTATAAAAAGAACTTGTGAAAATTGGACATGGTTGTACACACCTGAAATCCTTGTGCTCCAGAGGTAGAGGCAAGAGGATCAAAAGTTCAAAGCTGACTTTGGCTACCTGAGATCTGTTTCAAAGTAAAAATGAATTTGATAGTAACCCAAAGGAAAAATAACCATAAACAATTTTGAGACCAAGTGTGAACAAAAATCGGGTTGTGAGTGGTGGCACTTGTCTTTTATCCCACCACTTGGGAGGCAGACACAGGCAGATCTCTCTTGAGTTGAAGGCCACCCTGGTCTACAAAATGAGACCTTGTCTTTTTTATTTTTATTTTTATTAATTACAAATTATTCACTTTGTATCACCCACGTAGCTCCCTCCTTTCTCCCCTCCCCCCACCATCCACCCTCTCCTTTCTCCACCCGTGCCCCTCCCCCAGTCCACTGATGGGGGAGGTTTTTCACCCCTTCTGATCCTAGTCTGTCAAGTGGCTGCATTGTCTTCCTCTGTGTCCCAATACGGCTGCTCCCCTCAGGGGTTCATGATCAGAGGGTCTCTGAAAGGCTGTACCCCACAGGGTATCAAAGCAGATGCTGAGACCTTAAAAAGACAAGTTCAACTTGACACAGGCTAGAGTCATTTTGGAAAAGGGAACTTCAGTTGAGCAAATGCCTTTATTAGATTGGCCTATAGGTAAGGCTGCTCTCTGTTACTGTTCTGTTTCTGTGGTGAAACACCATGACCAAGGCAACTCATAAAAAGGAAGTATTTAAGTGGGGGCTTGGTTTCAGCAAGTTAGTCAGTGATCAATCATGGTGGGAAGCAAGCAGGCTCTGGTATAGAAACTGATAGCCCATCCCTAGGCAGAGAGTTGGGGAAGGGAGAGAGGGAGACAAAAGCACTTTACAGCCCACCACTAGTGACACACTTCCTCTGGCAAGTTCACACCTCTTAACAAGTGCCACTCCTAATCCTCCCATGTAGTTCCTCTACATGGGGACAAGCATTCAAACCTGAGCCTGTTGGACCATTCGCATTCAAACTGTCACACCTGCAGTGCACTTTCTTGATGGTTGATTCAGGATAGCTCAGCTCTGTGATGGTGCTGTTCCTGGGTATTGTAAGAGAGCAAGTTGAGCAAGCCGGAAGCAACACTCTCTGGCCTCTGCATCAGCTCCTGATTTCCCTCAGCAGTGGAGTTTTGCTACCTAAGAATTGTAAGCTGAAATAAACCCTTTCCTCTCCAAATTGTTATGATCATGGTGTTTATCAGCTAACTAAGACAAACAAAAAAGCTCACAAAGAACAAAACCCAGAATAGTTCAGGGCAAAGTTAGCTGTGTAGTCACCCTCCTTGGCCAAAATAATTTAATAGATAATGCCAAACAGGAGAAATACTATTAATTTTGAAGTTTTGGATATAGAAGAGTTTTGGATATAGAGTTCCAATGGTTTGGGACTTAGGTGAAAAGAGGAAACTCAAAAGCCATTTTATTACTCTGTGAAAATGCATTTAAGAGGCAAAAGGGGAAGGGAAGTAAGTCTCTAGTTTGATCATTTCCAGTTGAGGAGGGAGTCATTTTGCAGGTGTTAGAGAGAGGACATAGTGGTTCAGAGCACTTGCTGTTCTTGCAGATAACCAAGGTTTGGTTCCTAGTCGTCACCACGTTCACAAACATCTGTAATTCCACTTCCAGGGTTCTGGTGCCATCTTCCAGCTTCTGTGGGTACTAGGCATGCACAAAAACAGTACACAACATAACTGCAGGCAAAATACTCCTAAAAATACATAAACCTTTTCTAAAAGGGGAAAAAGTGGGTAGTCATTTATGCTCTTAATACATTATTCATGCCCTTTTCTATTTTCTAGTACTAGGGGGCCTCAGACATGACTTAGCAAGTTTTCTGCAGCTGAGCAACACTAGCAGCAGTTAAAACTGCCTTCTTAAAAGATTGAGCATTAGAAAACTGAGGGTTGTGTAGGTTAAATTATTTGCTGGATTATATATAGTTAAAAGTAGAGTGAAGATTTGAAATCAGACGAGAGGTCTTTACTTCCTTTTTTACCTCTTCCTTAAGGACATTTCTTTGAGATGTTGAGATTTCAAGAAGAAAGGATGCTGTATCAGGCTGGAGAGATGGCTCAGAGGGTAAGAGCACTGTCTGCTCTTCCAGAGGTCCTGAGTTCAATTCCCAGCATCCACATGGTGGCTCACAGCCATCTATAATGAGATCTGTGCCTTCCTCTTGCCTGTAGGCATACATGCAGGCAGAACACTGTATAAATAATAAATAAATCAGAAAAAGAAAGGATGCTGTATCAAGTAATTTTGGGTAATTCTGTATTAACATAATACATTTATTATAGATAAATATTTCAGTCTTTTTTATGTAAGTGCATTGTCGGGCTTCTGAGTGAGCATATGCAGATTATATATCATAAAATTCTTGATGTCAAACATTTGAAAGTGTATGGTATTATGTGGAAAAGATTCTGAGACACAACTTTAGATTCATTGAGTCATCATACAGTTTTTATTAAGATTACGTATATTAAAAGCCTCAAGATTTTATAATCTATAAAGTTTGAGGTTCCGTGGAGTCATTTTTGCATAAATAAACTAGGTTTTAACAGTCTTGGAATAATAATAAGCCAACAGAAAACAAAAGTAAACATTATATTTCAGCCAGGCATGGTGTCACATGCCCTTAATGCCAGCACTCAGGGAGGCAGAGGCAGGCAGGTCTCTGTGAGTTCCAGGCCAGCCTGGTCCAGTGAGTCCAGGACAGCCAAGGCTACACAGAGAAACCCTGCCTTGAACCCCCCCACCCCAATTTTTTTCCAAATAAAAATGTATCATTAATCTCTTATCTAGTGATAAATCCTTGTTTAAGGTCAACATTAAGTGATTGCTAGGTACAACACTATATTAAATAGCATGACGACTTTCAACAACTGATTGTAGCCTTGTTAACAAGCCTAATTATTTAACTGACATGTTCGTTGGTACTTCGAGGTATTATATTAAAAAACCTAATTTAGTCATGACAAATGAATTGATGTGAGGAGGCATTGGGAGGGGTTTTGGAGGCGAATGTGTTTGAGTCACTGGGGCTAGGAGTGCCAGGGATACTTTGTTTTCATGCAGCAGCACAGTCCTATCATAAGGGGAATGAAGTGCTGAATTATCCTATGACTTGGGGTGGGGGGGGGGGTCAGGGGAAGGTTAGAGGTATAGAAAAATGCCGGAGCCGGCAGAGCTGAGTAATTCTTGAGTGGGAAGTAAGGATTGAAAGAAAATAATAATAAACCAAACACTGTACATGGGATCTTTTTGAGAGGGCTTCTAGTAGAAACTAGGCACTGGGTTTATTCCACAGTTCCTTTTTATAGTCAGAGCAAAGCACTTTAATATAATGAAGTTCTCTGAGAAGTCAAAACTTGTTTACCTCAACCATCTGTCTGTGTGATCCTTACACAAACAAAAGGAAGTGAATTTGGCAAAAACATCCTGCCTACCTACTGTCACAAACAAAAGGAAATGAACTTGGCAACATATCCTGTCTATCCCTGTCTCCAGGTGAAGGCCAGGGTGAAAACATGTTTTTCACTAAGAGCTCAATAATAAAGCATCCTGACAACCAAGCAGCTCTCCAAAGAAAAAGGTCATTGGTTGAAAGCTAAGGTACCAAGACATCTTATTAGCATGGGGGAAGGTATTTCCAGGAATCGCCTGGTGCACAATGAATGGGTTTCTTACTGGCCTTTAATCTCCCTGAGGGCTTCTGTGACACTCCTTTGAGGATCTTGTGTTTCCCCAGATTAGGTGCTGAGGAGGGAACCCAGCTGAGGAAGGGAGATGTCATTTTAGCACCAAGCTCAGAGGCTGTTAATGCTAGACTTTGACCTACCTTAACACCAGGGTCCAACATCTCTCCAGCTCTCACTTAGAAGTTAATTAATTCCGTAATAAAGTTGTATCTACCCCATGTTCAAGTTTTCTAAGTTGTCAAGCAGGGCCACAGTCTACTCTTAACTTATCTCTGGTGAGTTAGTTTTTGTTAACTGTATTTGTGTAGCCTTGGCTGTCCTTGAACTCATGGTGATCCCCCTGTCTCTGGGATTATAGGTGGTGTTTCATGAACTTTGTTTTAGAGTAGCTCTCAGAGAACAGCTTGCAGGAGTCGGTTGCTTACTTCCACCATGTGGGACCTGGGATCATTTTTAGGTTGTAAGGCTTTCTAGCATGTACACAGATGTTTTGCTGGTCCTTAATGTTTTATATCATTTGGCTCAGCTGTCTTATATTGTAAGGGACCTATTCCCATTGTTATTAGTAAATATTTTGAGGGAGATACTTTGAGACTTGGCATATATATTGTTTTCCTTAATTTTTTTTCCCTGATAGTTCAGCATTCCCTCGTGATTCTTGACAACTTCCAGTTTCTATTTGGGTTAGTCTTTTATAAGGAATCATTAACTGGCATCTTTTTGTTTATTTATTTGTATAATTGTAGACTCATAGATAAATTGTGGATGTAAACCTGTGCCATAGGAATTTATGTTTGTGGTTCAAATTGTTGTGTCTTAATTTAGTAGTCATTAAGTCTGTTTGCTGTATGCCATTGATTTTTTTTCCTTTACTTCAAGATGTAGAACTTGACTGTACAGTTCTACCTTAGAGATATTTGTGCTGTTTAGACACATTCCAATCCTAAGCATGTAACTTAGTTTCTTTGGCTTTTACTCTGTACATAAAATTGGAATAACAGTTACTACCTCATTGGATGGTTAGAACATTTAATGTTAAACATGTTCTAATTTTCCTAATGTCTTAGTGTTACCACTCATCCAGGAATACTTCTGAAACCTGGCTTCCACTCTAAAATCACCTTCATTTATCTACACTCATATCTCCTCAGTCATTGGATCTGACCAGTTTCTTACTGAAATCACCCACCAATATTTGTTTAAGTTTCTTTTGAAGGCCTCTGCACATAATAACTAATTCTAATAGTTTTCTATCCATCTCTCACCTATTCATGTATCTTTTTTGTAAATACTAATTTAGTTTTTTTGGGTACAAGTGTGTGTTTGTGCACATACTAGTGTGTACAGAACTGTAAGTTGTTGCAAACCATCTGATATGGTTGCAGGGAACTAAGCTGGAGTCTGTACTTTTAACTGCTGAGCTATCTCTCCAGCCCCCAGTGACCATATAGTCTTTTAAACAGTTTCTTTCTCCAGTGGTACTTAAAAACCTGTCCTGTGGGACCACTTTGTAGAATTTTTTTTCTTGTCACATGGCAGCTCCTCACCCCTGATTTTTTTTCCTCTTTGCTTACCTTCCCTCTTTGCTGGGGCAGGGCTTCTTCTCATCCATTATCGTTCTTGTCTTCTGTAGCAACTGTACTTCCTGGGCTTTGTTAAAAATTATAAAGAAGCAGGAGGCAACCAATATTCTCTGCAAGAGATTTATTAGGAGGGAAGGGGGGCAGGACATGTAGAGAGAGAAAAGGGAAGGGGAAGGGAGGTGCCCCGAGAGAGAGAAAAAGAGAAAGAGAGTGTAAGAGAGAGAAAGAAAGAGTGTAAGAGAGAGAAGAGAGAGTAAGAGAAAGTAAGAGAGGGACCACGTGTCGGTATCAGCCCTTTTAAGGTAACCATGCCTTCCAGGTGTGGTCACCTGGCTGGCTGGCGACACATGATGACATCACAGGAGCAGGTTGTGTTCCAAAATACTAACAGGCTTACCTCTTGGCGCTTCTCTTTCAAATTTTGTTCCCCAACCACACAAAGTTGTGATATGAATCTAGTTGTGAATCCCTGTATTTATGGAAACACTGACAGAATTACTGTGTGCAGGCCGGGATTCTAATTTGATTGTGAAAAGGGACTTGGACTCTTTAAGTCAAATTAAATTTCTTCTTTTTTATTTTATAAGAATTGTTACACTTTATTTTGCTTGTATCTACTATTAACATAAATCTTTAAGGAAAGCACTACTTTTCTTTTATCTTTGAAGTTCCAGGGGCCTCAAATTGTTTGATTTGAATAAGTAGAATGTTTGAATGATTTAGTCAGAAATTGTTTAGAAGGGGTCAGTAATATATAGGATATTGGAATATTTTGAAGAAATGCCTGAGAAGGATGTAGGCCACTAGAAGAAAGGGAAGCAGCAGGAGCAGAGGAGACAGCTGCTTATACTTTTTGTGTCCATCTTAAACCTGGGCATTTTAATTACTCTGTTTAATCATCACAATAACTTGATGAAGTAGATGTCTTCATTTTCTGTCTTTAACACATGTAGAAACTGAATCCAGAAAGGTTGAATAATTTGCCCAAGCTATCAAAACTTGGGACTAGAGAGTCCCTGTGCCTTCCAGAGAACTACAGAATGAGAAGCAGTGAGCAAGGTGAAGGCTAAATGTGCTTCTTCAGATTTCTCAGGTTAGGACTACTCTAATATTTTCCCTGGTGCAGTCTAGTGGTTAAGAGTAATGCTTCATTTTTAATCAGATTCTTTTTTTTTTTTTTTTATTTAAAAAATGTTCTCTTGAGACAGGGTGTAAGGTAGGCCCAGGTTGGCCCCAAAGTTTATGGTTAGCTCAGGATAACCTTGTATTCCTGGTCTTCATACTTCTGTGATGGGATTCCAGTCATACACTGCCATGTGTACTGGCTGGGTTGTTTGTTTCTTGAAAGGAGGGAACCTCAGCTGAGAAAATGCCTTTGTAAGATCAGTCTGTAGGCAAGTGTATAGGGCATTTTCTTAATTAGTGATACTCTTCCCTGGCCTCTGCATCAGCTCCTGCCTCCAGTTTCCTTCCCAGTTTCTGTTTCTATTTTGAGTTCTCTCAGTGGAGTATGATTCAGGCTTTGTAAATCAAATAACCCTTCCCTCCCCAAGTTGCTTTTTGTTGTGGTGTTTCATCACAGCCACAGAAACCTACAACATCTGGCAAGGAAGATGCTTCTTATACTGTAATGTGCATCCATGTCAACTGGAGGTCTTTTTTTTTTTTTCCTTAATTTTTTATATGTGTGTGTTGGAGCTTCAGGTGGGTGTTGGGAGTTGAACTGTGATCTTCTGGAAGAGCGGTGTATGCTGTTAACCACTAGCTATCTCTCTGGAGATCTTGTTAAAATGCAGTTTCTGATTGTATAGGTTTGAGACAAGATCTGACATCCTGCATATTTATCATCTCCTAAAAAATAATAATTCTTCTTAAGGGTAGTCTTTGAGACTAAAAAAATCCAGAAATCATAAAAGGTTCTCTGTTTATAGTTGGATACATGGTCCTGAAATTGCCCTTATTATCATGTTGAAACTGTAGGTATTAGTTCTATGTTAGAATCACCTGTGCAGCTTTAAAAACTATGAGAGTAGACTCAAAGCAGCAAGAATTATCTGATGAAGAAACTTTATATTAAACAAAACTTTCCAAGTGATTAGAATGTTCAGTCAAGGTGAAGAACACCAAAGCATGTAGATTAAAATCATTGAACTCCTTCAGAACCTAGATTGCTCCTTTTTATGTTAACTAAATTTGTTATGTATAAAAGCAAATACTGTATCATCAAAGTTCCTATGAGCTGAAAAAAATACCTCAAAACTGACATGAAGAACAACTAAAAGTTTAGTAACTGGAGGTCATAATAATTGTGTTGTTTTGTTTGTTCAGCATCATTTTACAAAAAAGTGTGTGTGTGTGTGTGTGTGTGTGTATACACACATACAGGATTACCTCTGACCTCACTCATGGCATGCTCAAGTGGTAACTGGAAGACAGTATTATCTTTCTCTGTGGTCTCTACTTTGTTCATTGAGACAGGGTCTGTCTGTGAGTCTGGAACTTGTTGTAGTTAGACTGGCTGGGTAATAGGACTCAGGGATTATCCTGTCTTCATAAATCCTGCTTCTTGCAAGGCCTGGGAGAGGCAGGGTATAGTTGCTCCCTGTTAAACAGCACCCAGCCTTAACATGGGTGCTTAGGATCTGAACTAATCAATAACTACTAAGTCATGTTCTCAGTCCCTGTTCTGTGAAATTTTATTGTACTTTCTTTTTTTTCCCCCTTGCCAACAGGGATTTTTTGCCAGGTGGCAGGAGAGATTACACAGTCCAAGTTCAGCTGCGGTGAGTTTGAGGTTTTTCCTACTTTCTGTGTGCATTGGAGTTTTAAAACATGTAAACATGTTTTGGTACTCTTAACATTTTTTTTTCTTTTTATACAGACTTTGCTTGGCAGAGACCAGTTGCCCTCAAGAAGATAACTATCCCAATAGTTTGTGTATAAAAGTAAATGGGAAACTCTTTCCTTTGCCTGTAAGTTGCTATCTATTTACTAGATTTTTGTGTAAGTTTAGTATAAACACTGACGGGGTAGAAACAATAACCACTTGGTACTGATTAATAATATAGTTCTTTTAGAAATAAATGACTGATTGGGGGCCTAAGCAAGATAGAAAGGATGAGCCTGAAACATTATATTATAGAGTTCAAGAAAATTTTCATTGATTCTTGGATCATATCTGTTATGGAATTATACCAGACTCTAAGAACTTCTCTTTCCCAGCTAGTTCCCAAATAGTGGAAACAGACCTTTCGTGATTTTTATATAAGCTTTAAGGCACAGTAACTGGGCAGATAGCAATCAACTCTCTAAGCTGTTTTGCTATTTCCCAGCTATACAACCCAAATTACTTGCCATAATTATTTTTGCCTGGATTGCTTCTGTTCCATCAGGCTAACCCTCATGGCCATGTTCTCATTGCCCTTATGCCCCATGTTGACTTCTGCTTTCCTGCTTTCTCTCCTGTTTCTACATCTTCTCTTCCTCTCTCCCTCCTCTCTCTTGGCTCCTGGTCCCTCTCAGATCCTAAGCCCAGGAACCTAAACCCCACCTAATTCTCTCCTGCCCAGTCATAGGCTTCAGCAAGTTTATTAATGATACAGGGGAGAAAAGCATCCCTGAATTTAACCTTTTTTACTTTATTTCCTCTTTGACCATGACCAATAACAATTTGTAACCAACCCCCATAAGTTACAACAAACATCCAAAACACACAGAACAACCAAGAGCCACCCGCCTCGCCTCTTGGGAAATGATGGCATCTTGTTCTTTAAAATGCTTCCTATTATCTGCAGATGAAGGCATCTTTTGGGGACCTTAAGAAAACCAGGAAATTGACCAGTACCTGGGAGAGATGGCTGTTTCACTGGCTGTGCAGGCTTTGTGTGGGATTATCTGGTCTAGGAAAGTGCAGGGCTTAATTGAAGTCCTGACTGAAGCAGTTTCTGAGGCTGGACCAGTTAGACACATCACTTGGAAGCTGTCCTGGATGCAAATTTTTGAGGCAATCTGTCAGCCTGGATCATCTGGGCTACTTGCTTTGTCTTCATTGGTGTCTGGTCCTTTTGTTCTGATAACACAGACATTTCAAGGTAACATTGTAGGTACATTTCTATATAAACATATGTATAGATATGCCATGTGCACAAACAGAAAATCAGCTAAAGACCTATGTGCCAGAGAGCTCAAAGCCAGAGAGCCCTATTAGTAGGTGAAAGGCATCTGTGAAATCTTTATAAGTCCATTTGGACTTAATTACAAAGCGGTAATAAAAATTTCCATCCATGCATATGAAGGAATGGCATGAAATAATAAGTTATGAGGACCCTGTAGCCAATGAGATTTCATTGGCTATGCAGAGACATGATCTCTGCCAGTCTCTTGTGTTGTTCCCATGTAAGGGAATCAGCAGTCATGCCACCTGTTTTGTTGTTCTTTTGGGTCTCTTCCTTCATGTCTGTAACCAGAATTTTCAGGAGGTCGTCTCTTGTCAAATTTTAATTAACTTTTCACTTCCTGTTGAAAGAAGAGCCTATCTTCTTCCCCAGCACAATATATTCTCTGATTTCCATCCTAAGGTTAACAAATTCTTAAAGTGTACAGTCTGATTTAATTCAGCAGTCCTTTCTAAAATCCCGTGTTTTTCAGCAGATGCACCATGTGTCTCATTGACATTTAACTTTCTCACTGATATTTTAAAATTTTAAAGTCAATAAAACAGTATTTATCTCTGGGGGACCCTGTAACTCCTTTTGTTTAATGAGCATTTCCTTTCAAGTGCGATTTACATTTTTTACTACAATTGTTTGACTTTTTGTATTGTAAACGATACCTGTGACATGTTTTATGTTACAATGCTTAAATTGTTCAAGCTGCTGCCATCAATTCGTTTTGTTTTTTGTTTTTTGTTTTTTTAAATTGGGAAAAGTAAAACTTCCTTTATTTCTACTGCTTGTAATTACAAGCATCCCATTTTTCAGTTCTCTGATTACTTAAGTCTACTTTTTTCTGATTTTTCTCAGAGAAGGCACAGAAAACTGTTATTATTACTGAACATATTTGTAATTAGTTTTGTGTTGACATTCAAAATAAAATTATTCCAGGTTCAAATGCCCTCTTCTACACCGCCTTTCTTTTTTTTTTTCACTTTTCCCAACTGCATCATTTTTTTTCTTTTTTTTTTATATTATTATTTTTTTATTATTTTTTTCTTTTTAGTTACATTTTGTTAACTCTGTGTCCCAGCTGTATCCCGCTCCCTCATTCCCTCCCCAACCCCACACTCCCTCCCTAGTCTCCTCCCTGCCCCTTTCCAAGTCCACTGATAGGGGAGGACCTCCTCCCCTTTCATCTGACCCTGTTTTATCAGGTATCTTCAGGGCTGGCTGCAAAGTCCTCCTCTGTGGCCTAACAGACTGCTCCTCCCCGGGGGGGGGGGGGGGGTGTCAAACAGCCTGCCCTTGAGATCCTGTTAGAAATAGTCCGTGTTCCCCTTACTTTGGAAAACTACTTGGTTACTGAGCTACCACGGGCTACATCCGAGCAGAAGTTCTAGGTTATATCCATAGATGGTCCTTGGTTGAGTGTCAGTCTAGAAAAGACCCTGTGCCCAGATATGTTTGGTCCTTGTAGAGCTCCTATCCTTTCCATATCATACTAACTTCCCTTCTTTCATATGATTCCCTGCACTCTGCCGAGGGTTTGGTTATGAGTCTTAGTGTCTGCTTTGAAACACTGCTAGGTAGAGTCTTTCAGATGCCTTTTGTGGTAGACTCCTGTCATAAGTTCAATGCACATCCCATTTGTCTTTCTAAATGAGGATTAATCACCTTCGCCTGTGTCCACTTTCTTGATTATCTTCTTTAGGTGTGTAGATTTCATTATGTTTATCATATCTTGTAGGTCTATATAAGCGAGTATATACCAAGTTTGTCTTTCTCCTTCTGGGATACTTCACTCAGAATGATCTTTTCTAGATCCCACCACTTGCCTGCAAATTTCATGATTTCCTCCTTTTTGATTGCTGAGTAGTATTCCATTGTGTAAAAATACCACAATTTCTGTATCCATTCCTCCGTTGATGGACATCTGGGTTGTTTCCAAGTTCTGGCTATTACAAATAAAGCTGCTACGAACATGGTTGAACAAATGTCCTTGTTGTGTACTTGAGCAAATTTTGGGTATATACCTAGGAGTGGTATAGCTGGGTCTTGAGATAGCACTACTCCTAGTTGTCTGAGAAAGCGCCAGATTGACTTCCAAAGTGGTTGAACCAGTTTACATTCCCACCAGCAATGGAGGAGGGTTCCCTTTTCTCCACAACCTCTCCAGCATGTGCTATCACTTGAGTTTTTCATCTTGGCCATTCTGATGGGTGTAAGGTGAAATCTCAGGGTCGTTTTGATTTGCATTTCCCTAATGGCTAATGAGGTTGAGCATTTCTTTAAGTGTTTTTCTGCCATTCGATGTTCCTCTTTCGAGAATTCTCTGTTTAGCTCTGTTCCCCATTTTTTAAGTGGATTACTTGGTTTGTTGCTTTTCTGCTTCTTTAGTTCTTTATATATACTGGATATTAGCCCTCTGTCAGATAAAGGGTTGGTGAAGATTCTTTCCCAATCTGTAGGCTGTCTATTTGTTTTGATGACAGTGTCTTTTGCTTTACAGAAGCTTTTCAGTTTCATGAGGTCCCATTTATTGATTGTTGCTCTTAGAGCCTGTGCTGTTGGTGTTCTGTTCAGGAAGTTGTCTCCTGTGCCAATGAGTTCTAGGCTGTTTCCCACTTTTTTTTCCAACTGATTTAGATGCAAAAATACTCAATAAAATACTTGCAAACCGAATCCAAGAACACATCAAAGATATCATCCACCATGACCAAGTAGGCTTCATCCCAGGAATGCAAGGGTGGTTCAACATATGGAAATCCATCAATGTAATCCACCACATAAACAAAATGAAGGAGAAAAACCACATGATCATCTCCTTAGATGCTGAAAAAGCATTTGACAAAGTCCAACACCCATTTATGTTTAAAGTCTTGGAGAGATCAGGGATACAAGGCACATACCTAAAGATAGTAAAGGCATATACAGCAAGCCTATAGCCAACATCAAACTCAATGGAGAGAAACTTAAATCAATCCCACTGAAATCAGGGACAAGACAAGGCTGCCCACTCTCTCCATATCTCTTTAACATTGTACTTGAAGTCCTAGCCAGAGCAATAAGACAACTAAAGGAGATCAAGGGGATACAAATCGGAAAGGAAGAGGTCAAAGTGTCACTATTTGCAGATGATATGATAGTATACATGAGCGACCCCAAAGATTCAACCAGAGAACTTCTTCAGCTGATAAACACCTTCAGCAAAGTGGCAGGATACAAAATCAACTCAAAAAAATCAGAAGCCCTCTTGTATACCAAAGACAAAAAGGCCGAGAAAGAAATTAGGGAAACAACACCCTTCACAATAGCCACTAATAACATAAAGTACCTTGGTGTGACTCTAACCAAGCAAGTGAAAGACCTGTTTGAGAAAAACTTCAAGTCTTTGAAGAAAGAAATTGAAGAAGATCTCAGAAGATGGAAAGACCTCCCGTGCTCATGGATTGGTAGGATTAACATTGTGAAAATGGCCATCCTGCCAAAAGCAATCTACAGATTCAATGCAATTCCCATCAAAATACCAACTCAATTCTTTACAGACCTTGAAAAAAAGATTCTCAGCTTCATATGGAGAAACAAAACACCCAGAATCTCCAAAACGATCCTGTACAACAACAGATCATCTGGAGGTATCTCCATTCCCGATCTCAAGCTGTACTACAGGGCAACAGTAATAAAAACTGCATGGTATTGGCATAGAAACAGAAAGGAGGATCAATGGAATCGCATAGAAGACCCAGAAATAAACCCACACACCTATGAATACTCAATATTTGACAAAGAAGCCAAATCCATTCAATGGAAAAAAGACCGCTTTTCATTTTCATTTTCTTTTTAATGTCACTAATTCTCTCCTTCCTTTGGAAGAATTGGAGAATATTTATTTCTGTGACTGTCTATATACGGTTTTCTTTTCTTCAGTACATAAGCACATTTACAGAACATTTTTACCTATTTTCCTTTTACCATTTTTAAACTTGCATGCATGCTTTCTTTCATCTTTTTAAATGTGTCTGTTGTGTGCATGTGTGTAGTATTTTGTGTTCACATTTTGGCATGTGTGTAGGCTGATGTTGCATGTAGTGACCTGACGTTAATGTTGAATGTCTTATATATATTCACTCTACATTATATGTTTGAAGGCAGAGTATCTCTGAGCTGGACTCTCCAATTCCTGATAGTTTAGCTATACAGTTTCCTCTGAGAATCTTGTTTCTGCTGCTTGAGTGTTAGAATTAAAGGAGACTGCCATGCCAGCCTGGCTTTTTCCTGTGCTTTAGGGACAGAACTCTGGTCTTCACACTTGAAAAATGAATGCTTTATCCACTGAGGTGGTTACGTATTTTAATTTTTAAATTTGTGTGCATGCCAAAGGTTGAAATTGAACTTCCTTCCTCTATTCTGTATCTTAATTTTTTTTAAGACAGAGTCTCTTGTTGAACCTGGAACTCATCAACAATCTTAATTTCTTTTCCTGTTATTGTTTATAAAAACACCTGATAAAAGCAGCTTAAGAGAAAATTTTCCCCCTTGATGGTAAATCTTATTATGGAGAGTGCAGAGTGAAGTCCTCGGATTGATCAGTCGGTGAAAACGGAACAAGTAGTCTTTATTTACCTCATGATAGGTACCATAGAAAGAACACAGTATTCCCTATGAAATGTTTGTATCTAAAAATTCAAACCCAAGGGAAAATGAGAGTGGTTAAGGACACTTGATGCTCTTGCAGAAGGCCTGGGTTTAGTTTTCAGCAGTCACATGGGGCAACTCACAGTGCCTGTAACTCGGTTCCAGATTCTAACACCCTCTTGCTTCTGCCAACACCTGTACATGCGTGCACACAAATTTTAAAAAGAAAAAAGATTAGAAATAAAAGCTGAGCCTGATGCTCACGGGAGAGAATGAGGCAGTTCTGATGATTGAACCCACACATTTGTTCATGCTGAGCAAATGCGATACGCTGCTTTTAACACTAATGCATTTATTGCTTCCTATCCTCTTTTTCTCCTCCGCATTGTTGAAATGTCTTGTGACTCAAATTTCAACTAGAGTTTATATTTAGCTAGGGCATACGTTATTTATTTATTTATTTATTTACTTACTTACTTACTTATTTATCATTTTGGCAGACCCCAAGACCCCAAGCTACTGTTTCTATTTAGTTAATCTACCAATACATAAAGCCAAAGCAAAATTATTTTTAGGGTCTCAAACAGACAAAGACAAGAGTTTGTATTTGTAATTGCTTACATGCTGGTACTGACACTCCTGTGTGTGTTGCTTGGTAAGTGTTATTACTTTCCTTCTTACTGGCTTGGGACAGGTCTCTGTCTGACTTGGAAGTTGTTTTGCCTGGGCAGACTAGATGGCCATCCAGCTCTTGGGATCGACTGGTCTCTGCCCTCTGGTGTTAGAGCTATAGGCCTATGCATCCCAGCTTTTTACATGGATGTTGGGGACTGAATTCAGGTCCTCATTCAGGAGCCATCTCCCCAGATCCTCAAGTAAAGGATCTAGTTTTGAGTTTCCCCTTTCCTCTGTGTTTTACATGGACCAATTTAAATGGACATGCCTCTCTTAAACGTATAAATATGCACCACTCCTATTTTCATGGTATAATTGCAAGTTCTTTGCACTAGAGGTTTTGATGATGTTTAGAATTTTGTTGGTAGTCTTAGATGACAAATTATCATATGGCTACCCTCTTAATAACTGTCCTCCCTTGAAGAGTGACAGTGAAGGAAAGATGGTTCTAGTCAACTTGGCTGTATTCTGTAACTCTGTTTATGTACCAGTGCTGTTTTTTTTTTTTTTCCATCTGTAAGGCACATACATAGCTTAAGTTCAACATCACTGCCATCTACAACATTTGCTGATGATTGAGTGTTAGCTGTGTTATTTTTCCATTGCCTGTATGTGTATAACTTTGATGCTATTCTTGTGGCCTGACTGTGTAGCTGTGTGCCCTCAGATTTTAAACCAACAGATAATTTTAAGGACATTTTGAAAAAGAAGCATGGATCTTGGCTGTTGTCTAAAAGTCTTTAACCTGTAATTATTGGAAGATCCCAGATAACATTAGCATTAATACACACAAGGTTGTTTTTTACTTTCACGGAAATCTGAGGTGTGTTAGTGGAATGAAGTGTAGTTTAAAAATGTATTTGTAAAGCTTTTCTGTATTAAAGAATAAGAATGTAAGTGCTAATAATAGAATGAAAAGTTCCTCAGAAGATTTTTCTGTTAAAAAAAGAATATAGCTAGGCTGTGTATGGTGATACATACTTTTAATCGTAGTGCTTGGAAGGCAGAGGGTGGATCTCTGAATTCAAAGCCATCCTGGTCCATATAGTGAGTTCCAGGAGAGACCCTGTCTCAAAAAAGAAAGGAAGGAGGGAAGGAAGGAAGGAAGGTAGAATATGGTAGTCAGTTTGTTGTGTTTATATTTCCTTGATATGTAAAAATAAGTATGGAAATACGTCAACATTAATTAATTTAAATCCTGTAATATAGATTTTTATTCTGGTATATTTATATATAAGATAACATAATGTAGCAAAAGTTAGCCAAGGTCCTGTTTATCTTGGGGGGGAAAAACGTTTAAATCCTACAGAGCCTTTAAAATTATCTTTTCATGGTTATAGGGCTATGCGCCACCACCTAAAAATGGGATTGAACAGAAGCGCCCTGGACGACCCTTGAATATTACATCTTTAGTTAGGTTGTCTTCAGCTGTGCCAAATCAGATTTCTATTTCTTGGGCATCTGAAATTGGAAAGGTAAGAATTTTTTCCTGGGTTGTATGAAAAGTGTCCTTATTAGGAGTTGATTTATTTTCTTAGGCTGCTAGCTTGTGTATTAAAGCTGTGAGAAAGTACCTAACGAAGTAACTTCACTGAAGAACAGCTTATTTCAACTCATAGTTCAAGGTGATATGTAGTCCAGCATGGTGGAGAGCATGGTGGTAAGCAGCTGCTTCCCCCAACCCCTCATCTCAGCTTTACCTCCTAGAGGTGCCACCAGTTGGGGACTAAGTCTTATACAGGAGCCTATGGAGGACAGGTCACAGTGAATCTGCAAACTGTTCTTCAGCTGCCTAACTGTAACTTCTAAAAACAGTTGTTTCCTATGTGCTGATAGTGATTTAGAGATGAACTTTACCATAATTTTTCATGAATTTGTTTTTATTCTTCAGTGAAGAAATGTTTATTGTTTACATTTCTTCAGATAATGGTTTAATTTTAACTTTGTGTGTGGTTAAGTAGTATTTCTATAAACTGAAAACTTCAGATAAGTATTTATTTAGAAAATCAAAACCCAGCTTTTTGGTCTGTGTGGTTAACTGTACTCATTTTGAAATTAACCTGTTCTTAGCGAGGTATGGTAGTGCACAACCTTATTCCCATCACTCAGAATGCAGGCAGGGAGATCTTTAAGCCTGCTCTACAAACCAAGTTTCAGGCTAACCAAAGCCTGGCTCAAAAATCAAAACAAACAAAAAGCCCTAAAATCCAAGTGTGATCTTGCCTTTAAATGAACAACTCATGGTTCAGAAAAGATTCAAAGCATCTTCTAGATACCCAATTAGAATTCCTTTCTTTCTGTCTTCAGTTTGATGAACATGACT